AGCTGATGTTCTCTTCCAGCACCGCAGAGACCCAGTGGATGGGGCAGGTCCAGCCAGCCCCTCATCATGTCCCAAACCTGTCATCCTCCCAAACCTGTCATGATGCTGACATGTCCCCATGTCACAATGCTAACATGATACTATTTGCTTTTTGCTCTAAGTGAATTCTTCCCTTCTGCTGTTCGACTCGTGGCTTCTTGGGAAATGGTGATGGTGCAGTCTAGGAAAGCGTAAGGTGTGTGCATTCCTTGCGGGACGTCAGAGGCCTTTTCAGGAACGTGAGGAGTTGGCAGAGGAAGGTAACATGGACAGGTTCAGAATGGCCTGACACTGGTGACTGAAAGCACCATCACTTGGGGTTGCAAGTCCACGTGAAGTGTTTCAGGTGAATTGGGCTTTCCGTGCCCTTCCTGAAGCATGGCCCCTAGAAGCAGGCGGGATTCCAGGGCCGGGGGTTGTAGGCGAGTTGCAGCTCAGGTGGCGCAGTACAGAGGGTGAACGGGGAAGGGGTGGGTTGTGACTCAGGTGTATGGCAAAGCTGGGCCTCGAACCATGCAGGGACCTTTGACATGGGCTGGAGATAGTCAAAGACATTTCGAAGTCCCTCTACCCACGGTGAAATCTCCCTGCCTTGCTGGCATGTGGCAGCCTGAGCTCTGCCCAGCGCAGGTCAGCAGGGAGGGGCCAAGTCAAGAAACCGGGCACCTGCCCACCTGCTCAAGGAAGGCAGACGCCAGATCCCTCGGCTGGCTCACGTGGCCGGTGGGGAGCTCAGCTCAGGACCAGCGCAGCGGTCTCCTGGACAGAGGCACTGCCTCCCTCTTGCTGGGGTCAAGACACAGGGTCAGAAGTTTGGCCTCCTGTCCCAGCTGGGCGCAGGCTCACTGTCCGATCCTGGCGTGGTCTGTTGGACCTGGGCTATTAAATGACATGCGCTCAGTTTGCAAATGCATGCATGTTGTTTGTGTGCTGCTGGCAGTCCCTGCTCCTGCTTAGTGGGGCCCTTGTCTGCGCAAACAGCCTGTGTTTACCTTGTTGCTGGGAGCACAGATACCCTCTTGGCCCATGCACGGGCAGTTAGTTCAGGCTCTGAAAATCAGGTGCTAAATACATCTGGGCCTTTGCTTCCCCCGTGTAAGATGGGGATAACAGTGCTGGCGCCTCTCAGCAGGGCGGCGAGGTTCAGCTCGTGAATATGAAGTGGCTCAAGAGCCTCAGATGGACAGTGTGGTGCTATGGTGCGGAGCTGAGTCACCAGCACGCGGCGTCGCCAGCGGCCCGTGTTTGCGAATCGTCGTGTGTAATCAGCACGGGGAGGGGAGTCGTGGTGGCGTGGGGGTATGAGACAGCCAATGCAAAGCACTCTGGGCATGTACGCGCTGTCCTCCACGCTGGGCCACCAGTGGCTCTGCCCACGGTCACGGGGGGCACATGGGGTCCATGTGCCTGTGGAAGTGTTGGCTAAGAGCAGGGGAGTGGGGTGGGCATGTGTTTAAACAGACGCAGCGCCAACCTTTCCTCGCAACAGAAAACCTCTGAATCCCTCCCCCACCCTGTCTGCCAGCTCCTCTGAGTGAAATCTCAGCTCCCTTTGTTTTCCTGATTTCCATTTTGTATCCTAAAATATTCGCTCCGAGTTCCGCCTGACAGACGTCCCTAATCTAATCTCCACGTCTGCTTTCTAATTTTCGCAGTCAGGATAAAACAGATCGGCTGGCGTTAATTGCCTGTGCAGCGGCCCGAAGCTCTGAGCCATGATTTACGAGCTCGGAGCAAGCGCTCTGCAACACATTTTTCTTAATTTATTTTTAATGAGTCTCTCAATTAATTTTCTTGGAAACATCTTAATGATGTTGGAGGCGGGTGTTAATGAGGTCTGCACCGGCTCCTCGTTTTGCATATTTTAAATGCGGAATGGCATCGCCGGCGCACCCTCGGTTTGGGAAGGTAGGCGGTTCGTGGGCGGGTGGAGACTCTTGCTGACATCCATGCTCTGACCTTGCCCAGGCCTGGCCACGTCCCAAGCCTGAAAACTGCAGACGTCCGCGTGTGCCCCTCACCGACCAGCCCCTGGCTGCCACGTGTACCCCCTGCCAGGAGCCAGCCCCGGGCTGGTCGGTGGGCACGGCGCAATCTCTGCCATTCCGCCACTCTGCTGCGATGCCCACGTCTTCCCTGCATCTTGTGCCCCAGCCATGGTGGGAGAGGAGGCGATGCAGGTCCATTCGCCTGCAGGTCTCCCGCCGGGGGCCGAGAGGATGGCGGGGCAGGGCTGGGATCGCCAGGGCCCGCTGATGCCTCCCTGCCTGGGGGCCAGCCCAGGGCCTGCCAGAAGCCAGGCTGCCTGTCTCTTTAAAACGGGCACAGTGGGTCTGTCCTTTCCAGCTCGGTCCCGGCTCGGGTTTACAGTTCCTTTTGCCTTTAATTGGTGATTGTGTGTGCTTCAGTGAAATATGGCAGCTGAATTGCCTTTTGTTTTCTCACAGCACGTCAGTCTTCATTAAATCAGAGAGCAGCGAGAAAGGATTCGCTTTTGTCCCAGCCAGAACGCGGCAGCTGTTTAATTTCAATTAACATGGCACTGAAAAGAATAACATTAAGGCAGTAATTAAAGCGAGACAGGGCTTCTCCCTCACCTCTAGCGCTCGCCCCGCCGGGCTGCGTGGAGCGGAGTCATTCCACAGCACAGGAGGCCGCGGGTGCGGGGAGCTGCGCAGCTTTGGGTGCTGGGCATTGTCCGGCCCGTCACGTCAGCTGTGGCCCGGGGTGGGCAGTGCAGCCGGGCTCCACGCTGCCCTGGGGGGCTGCTGAGCAACCAGGATTCCTCCGCACCCCGGTGCTGCACGCCCCAGCTCCTGCCTCCCTGCCTGCACCAGGCCTGGCTCCTTGCACGGCACAGCCGTCCCAGGCTGCATCGTGCCAAGGCTGGAGTGGCCTTCCTCGGCTCGGGGTGTCTGAGAGTCCAGCCTGCAGCCCTGCGTGGTCCCTGGGGAGGGGGTGAGGCGGGTGGGCAGGCTGCGTGGCCAGCAGCCCCTGCCCCAGCAGCCGCCCCTTGTCCCTTCCTGCTGGAGATGAGACTCCCTGGCCACGTGCAGCTGCTCGAGGCATAGGAGTGTACAGGGGCCATGCCCACACGCGGTGGTGCCCATGCAGGTGGGCAGCATCTGCACCAGCCTGGGTGGCCCTGGGTCATGATGTCGCCAGCACCATGCAGCCGGGCTGGCCGGGAGCGCCGTCGGCCAGGCGCAGAAGCGTGGTCGAAGCAGCCATGCAGGTTGAATGCTTGTTAGCGTGCCCAGCCATTTCTCATCTGCCTGGGGTGGGAGCAGGTCTCCTCTGCAGACAGGGAGCCTGTTGGCAGTGCATTTGCTTCTCCAGTGCAAACATGGGGGGCACAGCCTGGCAGCATTGCCATAGCGTGTGGGTGCACACCATGGGCCGAAGGCATGTCACCCTGCATGGGGCGAGGCCAGGCGCGCTGACTGCGTCTTTGGCTTCTTGGGGCTGAGCTCTGTGGCCCTGGTGCTTCACTGGGACGGGCCCGGCTGGTGATTTTGTAGCCAGCGCATGGGCAAAGGGATCAGGGTCGTGGGAGCTACGGCAGGGACCAAAGACCAGCGTGGTGCGAGCACAGAGCGGGGAGGGCTCGAACCTTTCTCCACATGGTCGTGTCCCTTGTGGACTGGGATTTCCCTGCCCAGAGTCCTGCTCCTTCAGCTTGGAGCACGCTGGCCCTCCCCCCGAAGTGTCCACAGGCACCTTGCCAGATACGCACCACGGTCTGGGCAGAGTTAAAACAAAAAGAGCTGACAGAGGAGAGCAGCCGTGGCCCCAGGGAGGACCTGCGCTGTGGCCCGGTGTCGGTGCAGCCTCCACGCGCTGCGGGGAAGCCAGGCCCGCAGCGTGGGTGGGAGAAGCCGGCGGGGGGGGAGCTGCCGAGGGACCCTGCAGCAGCTTCCTGGGGCTTCGCTGTGCCCGGGCCTGCTGCCCTGCTGTGGGCCGCTCGCCAGCAGCAGGCAGAGCGCAGGCCCGGCAGGCAGCACTGCCCACAGACGTGGCATGACAAAGGCCACAGAGGCCTCCGGCACGGGCACGGGCATGGGCCTGTGCTGCGCCTTGCCGGCCGCGGGCAGCCACTGCCCGAGCCCGGCTGCAGCCCGCAGGGAGAAACGAGGCCTAAATTCAATTGCAGCCACACAAGAGCCGGCGGCAACGGAGGTTAAGTGGCCCTGCTCACGTGCCTGCGATCTGCTCCCGGAGCCGGTCGGCATGGCAACCGACGATTTCCATTACAGCACCTTGGTGTGCGCAGGCTGGGCCAGCCCCAGCCCTGGCTTGGAAATTTCCAGTTAAAATATATATGAAAAGGCAAAACTGGAGTGTGGGACGCAAACCCTGGTGCTGCCACTCACAACCCCGAGGAGCTGCCCCCCGCCAGGCTCGCCGCGCCAGGGCCTGACCGCACGTGCCCCCTTCCCCCGGCCTTGGGGCACCTGCCATCCGCTACGCTCGCTGCCAGCCTCGTCAGGCCTCAGCAGGCCCTTGTGGTGTCCTTGCTCTGTACTGGCTAAGACAACCCAGTCGCCCCGCCAACCCCCGCATGCCGCCCTCGCTGCCAGCACGGGGGGCTATGGCAGGCGAGCCTGCCCCTGCCCGCGGCGGGCCTCGTGTGCCAGCGCAGGCAGCAGCTGCCTCAGGCCAATGCGTTCAGCCCAAGGTGCCGGGTTTGTTCGTGTTGGCTGCAGCAGGCGCCCAAGCCGGAGGGCTTTTCACCATGGATCCGGTGCTCGAAGCAGGAGAACGCCCCTCCGGCAGCAGGGAGCCAGAAGGCAGGAGCCCGCCCAGGGCAGGACACGCAAGGGCCAAGGGCAGCTCTGTGCCGGGGTCACCCAGGGTCCTGGAGCGCAGCAATGAGGTGCCTCCTCCCTGGCATCCCGAGCTCTGCCCCGCTCTGTCCCCAGGGCTGCGGGGCCCTCGCTCACTGTCCCATTGCCACGCAGGCAGCGGAGAGCAGCGCGGCGCTGCAGGGACTGCGGCAGAGGACGGCAGAGCAGGAGGCCGCCATCCACCAGCTGGAGAGCCTGGCGCGGGCCCACCTGAACGAGCGGCAGCAGGAGGCAGAGCAGGTAGCCACGGCCTCGGGCACGCCCGTGCTGAGCTCGCCTGTGGCAGTGGGAAGGACAGGGAGGGGGCCTGGCTCAGCCCAGGCCCCTCCGCGTCATGCACCAGTGTCTGCTGCAGCTGCGCCGCGCTCAGGACCAGGTGCAAGTGCTGACCCGGGACCTGCAGAAGGCAGCAGCCGAGGCCCAGGCTGCAGAGCAGAAGGCACGTATCTGTCCCTGGGTGGGAGGGATCGCGGGCTCTTGGGCCATGGGGCTGTTGGCCCCCGTGCTGCAGGGCAGGCTCGGCTCTGCCAACGCAGGGGTGCGGGCTGCTCTGTCACCACCCCACGTGCCTGTGGCAGGCACAGCACTGTGAGGACACGCTGCAGCGGCTGCAAGATGAGCTGGTGGCATCACAGGTGACTGCCAAGGGCAGCGCCCAGGAGCAGCAGCTGCAGGACGTGCAGCAGCAGGCACAGGCGCTGCACCAGCAGCTGGAGGCGCTGCAGAGTGAGGTACCTGTGCTGCCTGCGCAGCCACTGGGCAGGAGCCTCTCCCCTGTGCCAGCACGGGGGGGCCGGTCCTTGCTGCCTCTTCCTGCCCACTCCCATTTGCTCGGCCCCCGTCAGCTTCGCCTTGGCCTTAGCCTGCTCCAGCAGCTGCACTCACACTGGGGCCACATCCGGCCTCCTGTCTGCCAGCCCGTGCCTGGTGCCTGCTGCTCTAGCAAGGCTGAGACCCCACGACTTAGCTGCCTCTTCTTTCCCAGCTATGGCAGAGCACAGTGGTCCCCCCGCGGCCCAGGCTGCTCCTGCTAGCGCGGCCGGGAAGGCAAGTTGTTCCCCTCATCGACCTCTATGAGCTGAGCAGCATCTCTGGAGTTGGCGCTGTGGGCTTTTGCAGGTGCACAGTCACGACCAGATCGTTGCAACACTCGAGAGACGCCTGGGAGCTGCCAAGGAGGAGCTGGCACGAGCTGCGGGCGAGGTGGGAAGCCCTGGAGCAAGGTGCTGGGGCCTAGGGCAGGCGACAGGCTCTGCCCTGGCAGACGGGCAGCTGTGGGGCCCTCGCTTCTCTGCACACTGCAGCACCGCATCACTCCCTGTCCTGCTCACGTCGGCCTCTCCATCGGGCCGGTGCTCGTTGACACCTTGATGATGTTTCCTGCCTCATCTCATGGGCTCCAACCCCATCTTGTGCCAGGCGGCAGCTGGGCTGAGCAGTGCCCAGTGGCATGGACAGGAAGCAGTGCCCGTGGCCACCCCCCCATGCTGATAGCCATCCGCTCTGCCCCCCCCGGGCCAGACACAGGCGCTACTGCTGGAGCAGCTGCAGGCAGAGCTGCAACTGAGCCGGGAGAGCCGCGAGGCCGAACTGCAGGGCCGGTGGCAGGAGCTGGACGCCTGCAAGGGGCAGCTTAAGGAGACGCAGGTGCAGCTGCGGCAGCAGGAGGCCATGATGGTGGCACAGGGCCGGGACCTGGAGCACCGGCTGCAGCAGTGCAGGGTGCTGCAGGAGGAGGTGGGGGCCTGGGAGGGAGCAGGGCTTGTGCCTGGCAAGCTGAGACTGGACTGGGCACCGTATGGCAACGCATGTGGCCCCCACCCCGACCACATGGCACCCACAGGTGCAGCAGCAGGCGCAGGAGCTGGCGCGGCGGCAGGAGCAGCTGCAGACAGCACAGGAGCATTTGGCTGTGGCCAAGGACAGCTTCAGCCTGTGCCAGGAGAAGCATGAGGCGGTGCTGAGCCGGGTGCAGAGCCTGGAGCAGGACCTTCGAGACGCCCGCAGCCAGGTGAGTGTCCCCCCCTCTCCAGTGTAGGACCCCACGCCTCCCCTGGCAGCACCGCAGGGGCCAGTGGCTGCCTGGGCCTTGCTGCTGTCCAGGGGAGCTGCCAGCATCCACCCAGCTGCATGAGGCGGGCAGCAGGCCAGGCCCCTCAGGCAGCCTTGGGCCCTGGAGTGGCCTGGTGGGTTGTGGACGGACACGAGCCCCCAGCACGGCTCTCATATCACTGGCTGCAGCAGTGGCCTGGCCCAGGGCCAGCCATAGGGTCCCCAGCCACGGGCTGCAGCTGGTGCCATCCCCACCGCTTCCGAGGGCAGAGGCTTGGCTACTGGGCAGGCGCCGGCGGCTGTGTTGGCCACCACTGGCTAGCACCAGAGGGTCATGGCTCGGGCCCGCAGGTCAGGGAGTGTGATGACACCATCGCCAGGCTGTGCAGTGAGCAGCTGGCTGTGAGGAGCCAGGTGGAGGAGGCCGTGGAGTGGCTGCGCCAAGAGCTCCAGGCCACCCAGGAGGACCTGGCCCACAGTCAGCAGCAGGCCCAGCAGTGCGAGGACAAGGCCCAGCGGCTCTGGGAGCAGCTGGCTGCCAGCCACAGCCAGGTAAGAGCCAGGAGTGCTGGAGTGCCTCCTGCCAGCCCCAGCACAGCATCACACCGAGGCTGGGCAGCAGGGATTGGGCCAGAGCATGGCTCTGGTCTGCAGGCACCCAGCTGCACCCAGCACCGGCACTGCAGGAGAGCTGGGGAGGATCAGCCGCTTGGCCCTGTGCTCCCAGGGGAGGGTTGCGTGAAGCCAGCCCCCACCATCACCCCACAGATCCAGCCTGATGCCATGTGCTGCTGCAGCGAAGTCCGTGCAGACTGGCAGTGCGCAGCTGGTGGGCCTGCAAGCTGGGTCTGGAGACATCCAGGCAGAGAGAGCCCTCTGCTCCCTGGCCGCCTGCCCAGGCCCTGGGTATGGGGCATTGTCAGAGCCCTGTCTTTCCCACTGGACCCAGGTGCCCAGCATCATCCTCCCCATGGTCCCATCGCCCATACATCTCACTGCCTGTTGCCATCTCCATCCCGGGGCCATGTCTGCTCCCCTGTTCCTCACGCTTCCGGGGTGTGCAGGTGGTGGCAGGCACGGCGGCACTGAGGGACGCTCACTCGGAGTTTGCCTCCTACACGGCTGCTCACAGCCACAGCAACGCCAGCTACGACCGCCTGGCACTCCAGGCCATGGCGCTTCAGCAGGTAGGGAGGCCTGCCCTCCCCTCCTTCCCCTCATGGGCCTGGCCTGGGGGCCCCAGGGCACTGGCTTCCAGCCACTGTGTTGATGGCGTGGTGCTGCATGTGCAGAGGCTGCTGGAGCTGGAGCTGGAGCTGGAGCTGGAGGTGGAGAGCACCGTGCATCAGCAGCAGGCAGAGGAGGCCGAGCGCCTGGCCCAGGACTGGGAGCTGCAGCTGGAGCAGGTGGCAGAGCAGAAGTGCAGCACCACGAGAGGTAACGGCTGCTCTTTAGGCCTGGCAGCACTCCCCTACCTGCCCCCGTGGCCCCAGCTGGGCCAGGGGAGCCTTTGGCCTCTGCCAGGAGCTGGCTCTGGGCCTCCCCTGCCCAGTGTGAAGCAGGTCCCCCTTTCCTTGCCCTGCCTGTGGCTGCTGGCCCTCAGCACCTGGGGGCAGTGGGGGCCAAAGCCAGAGGCACTCGCACCCCATGGGACAACCCATGTGGCCCCTCTGCCCCAAGTGCAGGGTGGGCAGGAGCAGCCTGTGCCCAGAACTGTCTCAGACCTAGAAGCGCTGGAGCTGGAGCTGCGGGGCCTGCGGCAGAACGCAGCCGCCCAGGCGGAGCGTGTGCAGCTGGAGGCAGCTGAGCAGCAGCAGCGGGTGCAGCGGCTGGAGCAGGAGCTGCAGGAGAGCCACCAGCTCAGCACCCAGAGGGCACAGGTCAGCAGGAGCTGGGGCAGGATGTCCCCCAGCCCACCCCCAGCAATTTGCCTTGGGGCCCAGGGGAGAGGGAGAGGAAGTCGGAGCTGCCAGTTCTCTGGAGCTCCCTGAGGTACAGCCAAGGCAGGCGTGGAGCCCATCGTCCACAGCTGCGGTGGTGCCTGCCTGGCTGCAGCCACGAAGACAGGCTTAGTCAGAGACAGGCAACCACTGCCTGGCTGGGGAAGCCACAACAGGAAATAAAGGCTCAAACTACCCTGGCCTCTGTTGCTACACTCTGCTCCTGCCCTCCGTGCCACAAGCAGACGCCCAACCCGCCATGGTCTGCGCCTCACCCACGAGCCTCAGTGGGCTCCACAGGCACACACGTGTGCACACATGCTCCTCTCCTTCCCTCTCCTCTTCACACACTTCTCCTTTCTTCCCTCTCTCTTTCCTCCTGTCTCCTTCCTGCCTCTCTCCCTAGCTCACTGCTTTCCTCTTCTCTCCCCACTTCCAGAAACCCCGAGTGAGGAGCAGGGCCCACTCCCACCAGTCCCAGGGTGCCAGGCCCTACGCAGCCCACACCACCCCATCACCCATTTGCCCTGGGGCCCAAAAATCTCTCCAGAAACCCACGTCTGAGGTGGAAAGTTGAGTCGAGACAGGAGCATATCACCACCACAGCCAACGTGGCCCATGGGATTATGCCCCCAGCTACTGAGCCCCATTCCCCCTGCCCCGCTCTGCCTGGGGGTTCAGACGGCAGGAGGGAGAGGCTGGGTGTTGGGGCACAAGGTCCCTGTCAGAGGTGCAGCCCATTGCCTCCATGTTGGTCGCTGGCCAGAGCCAGGTGCACCAAGACACCCAGCAGTGGCACGATTATGGCATGCAGCATCAGCCCCAGGCTGAGTGCAGGGCCTGGAGGGCAGCTGAAGAGGACATGGGGGTGGGGAAGGGGTAGGCTGGGCTCGCGTGTGCATGGGAGTACATGCTGGCTTCTATTCCCCTAGGCCGTGCAACGGTGTGAGAAGCAGCTACGGCAGGTGCGAGCGGAGCTGGTGCAGGCGCGGGCAGCACAGGTTGGCATGCAGCAGGAGCAGCAGCAGAGCACGGGGGCAGGCGCGGCGCTACGCCAGGAGCTGCAGAGGCTGCAGGAGAGCCTGCAGCAGGAGGGCGAGCGGCCACCACCACCCCCATGGGCACGGCCCCATGCCAGGGACCCCAGTGCTGCCCATGGGGGTCTGGCGGCCCCCCACTCCAATTCCAGGGACCCCCGGAGCCTGCCCCACTGCCCAGCAGGACCCAAGACAGAAGAGATCACACCCCCCAATCCTGCCCATCAGCACAGCACAGCTGGGGCCAGGACACCACCCAACATCCCCATCCCCTGCCACAGCAACCTGGGGGAGCACAACCCCCGCCAGGGGCATGGAGCAGGAGCTGTGCCATGCACCCCTGGCCCTACCCCAACCGCGCACCACGTGTGCTTGCAGCACAGCACAGCTCATGGCACCCAGGGCTCCTTGTATGTATGTACGTACGTACACACACACACACACACACACACACACACACACACAC